TTGGAGATGGAGTTTTGCTCTTGTTGCCCATGCTGGAGTGCAGTGGTGTGATCTCAGCTCACTGCAACCTCCACCTCCCTGATTCAAACAATTTTCCTGCCTCAGCCTCCAGAATAGCTGGGATCAGAGGCGCCTGCCACCACACCTGGCTAATTTTTGATATTTTTAGTAGAGGCGGCATTTCACCATGTTGGCCAGGCTGGTCTTGAACTCCTAACCTCAAGTGAGCCACCCGCCTCGGCCTCCCATAGTGCTGGGATTACGGGAATGAGCCACCACACCTGGCCGAGATTCACATTTGCAATAAGATAAACCATCCTGTTTGCTCCGGCTCCTCATTGAAGGGTCACAAAGTGATATTATGGGCAACAATCTATAATGATTTCCAATTTTTTTTCTGCTTTCAGTGGAGTTTTTATTTGCAATTTATTAATTAAATTGACAATGTTCTTAGTAGAAAAGCTTGTAGAAGTAATGTTTAGCATAGGAGAATTTACTAAGTTGTCTTTTCCCCTTTTCTCACAGGGAGTCTAATCTCCAACACTTATCAGTACTGGAATTAACAGACTCTGGTGCTTTAATGGCAAATAGGTTTGGTAAGGAGTGGACTATGTACACATTTCATTTTAAACTGGGGATTTATTGCATATTCATTAAAGTGGTCTCTTGCCACCTTTGCCATAGAAAGGTTGCTAGGCTCTTTGCTTTCAGAAGGCATGAGTAAGCTGTGGCCTGAGATCTCCGTTTGTGGCATGGGGTCTGTGAAGCTGTAGTACCAGATCAGGCGTATGTTAAGGATATTTTATATGTATATATATAGCTGCTTTCCCGTTCTGTTTTGATGCTTCAGTGATTAATTTAACAAAATCATTAAAAAATTCATTAACGTTTATGGTAACTTTTGTAATCTTAGTCAACAGATATTTAAAGTATCCCTCGTGTTTGAAAACCATTCTGGAGAATTTATTTTGTATTGTTGTGGTATAAAAGTTGAAATCCTAGGGCTAATTGTATTTATCATGAAGAATTTCTAAGGAAGGCACTTAAGTGTTGTGAGATCAGTGAAAAGAAATGACTGTAACTTTGATGTGAATGGTGTTTTCATTGCATTTTTATAGCGCTTCACAATTTACAAACTACTTTTATTTATGGTGCCACTGGATATATACCCATGATACATTTCCTCTTTTGAAGTGCTAAATTGTTTTTTACAGGCATAAAATGAATTGATAGATTATTTTAATTGAAAATTGATATTACCACTACACAAAACTGTCATAACTTTTTCTTTTTAAGTATCTAGTCCTCAGACTATTGTGGAGTTATTCTTCCAAGAAGTTGCAAGAAAACACATTATATCTCACCTCTTCTCTCAGCCAAAGGCACCTCTGAGCCAAACTGGATTGAATTGGCCTGAAACAATTACTGCAATTACCAGTTATTTATTGCAGCTTTTGTATCCTTTTATTTAAGAGCCAGTGAAAAGCTCTCTTCTGGCCAGGCATGTTGGCTCACTCCTGTAATCCCAGCACTTTGGGAGGTGGAGGTGGGCTTATCGCTTAAAGCCAGGAGTTCGAGACCAGCCTGGCCAACATGGTGAAACTCCCATGTCTACTAAAAATACAAAAATTAGCCAGTCGTGGTGGCCTGCACCTGTAATTCCAGCTACTCGGAAGGCTGCGAATAGCTTGAACTTGGGAGGCGGAGGTTGCAGTGAGCCAAGCTCGCGACACACACTCCAGCCTGGGTGGCAGAGTGAGACTCTTCAAAAAAAAAAAAAAAAAAAAAAGCAGTTCTTTTCTATCTAAATAGTCTAAGGTTCTTATTTTGCCTATGTAATGAAATACCTGGGTCTGTTTTAAGACATTATTCAGCCGGGCTCCGTGGCTGACGCTTGTAATCCCAGCACTTTGGGAGGCCCAGGCGGGCGGATCACGAGGTCAGGAGATCGAGCCCATCTTGGCTAACACGGTGAAACCCCATCTCTACTAAAAATACAAAAAAAAATTAGCCGGGCGTGGCGGTGGACGCCTGGAGTCCCAGCTACTTGGGAGGCTCAGGCAGGAGAATGGTGTGAACCCAGGAGGCGGAGCTCACAGTGAGCCAAGATCGCGCCAGTGCACTCCAGCCTGGGCGACAAGAGTGAGACTCCGTCTCAAAAAAAAAATTATTCATTCGGCTGGATGCAATGGCTCATGCCTATAATCCCAGCACTTTGGGAGGCCAAGGCGGGCAGATCACTTGAGGCCAGCAGTTCAAGACCAGCCTGACCAACATGGTGAAACCTCACCTCTACAAAAAAATACAAAAATTAGCTGGATGTGGTGGCATGCGCCTGTAGTCCCAGCTACTCAGGAGGCTGAGGCAGGAGAATCACTTGAACCTTGGAGGCAGACGTTGCAGTGAGCTGAGATCATGTCCCTGCACTCCAGCCTGGGCAACAGAGTGAGACTCTTTCTCAAAAAATAAAAAATAAAAAATAAGACATTATTCATTCAACAAATATTTATTGAATGGCTCTATATGCCAGGTACCATATTATGTGCTGGATGTCCACTGGCACCAATACTGTGTTCTGCAGTACACCAGCTGGAATTGAAAATGAACACCCAGTAATGAAATACAGGCTTTTAAAAATTTATTTATTTTTAGAGACAGGAATCTTACTGTGTTTCCCAGGCTGGTCTTGATCTCCTGGGTGCAAGCAGTCCTCCCACCTTACCCTCTCAAAGTACAGGGACTGCAGGAGTGAGCCACCATGCCTGGTGAAATAGATGCTTTATTCCGTAGTTACCTGAGTTCTAAGCTCTGTAACAAGTCTCCTGGTATATATGTAACTGTTTAACTGTATTCTAGTGACGATGAAAGAACATGTGCTTGGCCAACTTCTCTTCCTTGTTTTTGTAAATTAAGCTATTTTATGGACTTTTCTGAATTTGATGCCCAATGTATGTGTTTAAGATTTGCCAACAAAAATTAAGAAATCTCCTTAACCAATGACTAGATGGCCTAGCAATCCTGGGTGTCTCTTTCTAGAATGTTTGATGGGAAATTGTCAATATGTACAATTGCAGGTGAGTTCCTTTGAACATTTCACATCTACACATTCTTGTAAAGCATGGGATTGCAGAATATTTTTCTTTGTAAATGTGAACTGCATTTTAAAGGACCACAATAATTTAAACTTGATTATGCGAAGACATACCCCAAAGAGATTGTTCTCTATTTCTGTACCATCCTGAACTTGCTTGATCTTGTCTGATCTATGAAGCTAAAGAGGGTTGGGCATGGTTAGTACTTGGCTGAGAGAATACCTGATTCTAAAGGCTTTTAAAGTAAGTAATAAAATAAATTTTTAAAGAGAGAGATTTTTCTCTACTTCTCTGGACAGTATCATTCCTAACATGATTTTTTTCTAGAATGTCTTTTTTTTTTCTTTTCTGAAATGCTGGAGTACCGTGGCATGATCTTGGCTCACTGCAACCTCCACCTCCTGGGTTCAAGCAATTCTCCTGTCTCAGCCTCTCGCGTAACTGGGATTACAGGCTCATGCCATCACGCCCTGCTAATATTTGTTTTTTTAGTAGCGACGGGGTTTCACCATGTTGGCGAGGCTGGTCTCAAACTCCTGACCTCAAGTGATCCACCCACCTCCCCAAAGTGCTGGGATTACAGGCATGAGCCACTGCGCTGGCCTCTAGAGTATCTTTTTAAGAAATTAACTCTGCTAGGTTTTCTTTATAGTAATACAAATGTACTATTGTTTTCATATACATCCTTTACTGGAATCTAGTCATTGAACCAATAAATACCAAAAATTGGAAAATTGCTGAGATGTAAAGTATGTGTATGTGTGTTACTGAACTCCTGTTTGTGTAAGGAAAGGGGGAATGGATGAGGAAGGAAGGCAACAGGGGTAGGTTTTAATCTCAGAATTATGTCAGGAAATAAAACATTTGTTCAAATGCTCTCTTTTCATCCTCTGTGAAGAAGAACTTGGGAATGAGTATCTCCTTAAGAAACATTTATTTTCTAATCAGAAAGCACCTTTTATGCCTTTAAGGATTATATTCAACTGCTCCATCCCTGGTGTCAAGTCAATGTTGGTTCCTGTCGATTTATGCTGGGAAGGTGTTACCTAGTTACAGGAGAAGGACAGAAGGTAAACTACATTTGAAACTACATTTGAATGGTAAATAAACTTTAACGCAAGGAAGTTGCTTAGCTTCCATTTGACTAGGTTTTAGGGGATGGGAGACATAGAATCCTCTAGACAAAGTTAAAGAAGACTGTACTAATGTCAGTCAAAAGCATAATATACATGTGAGAACTATTTACTTTCTTGTATTCTGCAATTTAGATAAGACTCAGGAACATAAGAAAATATTACAACTCTCCTGCCCCTGTGTGTTTTTAGAGATTCCTTTTGTTATTATTATTATTATTATTTTGTGGAATCAGGGTCTCACTGTGTTGCACAGGCTGGACTCAAGCAATCCTCCCACCTTGGCCTCCCCCAGTGCTGGGATTACAGGCATAAGCCATTGCGTTTGGCCAGGATACATTTTTATAAATCAAATTTATTTACTTATTTTATTATTTCTTTTAGACAGGGTCTTGTCACCCAGACTGGAGTGCAGTGGTGTAATCATGGCTCACTGCGGCCTCAACCTCCTGGGCTCAAGCAATTCTCCTACCTCAGCCTCTCAAGTAGCTGGGACTACAGGCATGCGCCACCATTCCTGGCTAATTTTTAAATTTTTTGTAGAGATGGGGTTTTCCCATGTTGCCCAGGCTGGTCATGAACTCCTGGGCTCAAGTGATCTGCCCGCCTCAGCCTCCCAAAGAGTGTTGGGACTACAGGCATGAGCCATTGTACCCAGCCCAAATTTACTTATTAATTACATTATTTTTATTGCTTTATGCTGCTTTTTTTCTCATTATGGTAGTTTACATTTTTAATTTTTTCCCTGATCTATTATATAAATTTTCAAACAGACAGGAAAGTTTAAAGACTTTTACAGTGAACAGTATTTACCTATCACTCAAATTCTACAATTGTTAACATATTGCTACAGTTGCCTTATGTATGTATGTGTCAATCATCTTATTAAGGTTTACTTTTTTTTTTTGAAGACAGTCTTGATCTGTCACCCAGGCTGGAGGACTGGAGTGCAGTGGCATGATCTTAGCTCACTGCAACTTCCGCCCACCAGGTTCAAGCGATTGTACTGCCTCAGCCTCCTGAGTAGCTGGGATTACAGGCGCCCGCCACCACACCCGGCTAATTTTTGTATTTTTAGTAGATACGGAGTTTCACCTTGTTGGTCAGGCTGGTCTCAAACTCCTGACCTTGTGATCCACCCGCCTCGGCCTCCCTAAGTGCTGGGATTACAGGCATGAGCCACGACACCCGGCCAATGTTTACTTTTTAAAGTTAAATGTGAGATAAATTTCTAAAAACATGAATGCATCACACAGAATTCAGATGTGTCAGAAACTGTGCATATAGTAGACCATGTTAAATAATGTTGTTTCTTTTTTGGCTTTCCTTTGCATGTGAACCCCTGATTTGTAGCACCTGGAATTGGAATGATCTGTTACAAGTTATTTTATATTTTATTTCTCCAGGCTCTGGAATGTTTTTGTCAGGCAGCATCTGAAGTAGGCAAAGAGGAATTCTTGGATCGCTTGATTCGCTCAGAGGATGGGGAGATCGTGTCTACCCCCAGGCTGCAGTATTATGACAAGGTACATTGTGTCTTGGTTTGGCCTTATACCACCCTGTGTAAAAACACATCTGAAATATATTGCTTTGCTCATTTTGGAGAAAAATACTACCAAAATTTAGTTGCTCCCTGAATTTCCAAATTTAAGAAAAATGAATTTGCCTAGAGAAATTAAGGAAACATGGCTGGGCACAGTGGCTCATGAGTACAATCCCAGCACTTTGGGAGGCCAAGGCAGGCAGATCACCTGAGGTTAGGAGTTTGAGACCAGCCTGGCCAACATGGTGAAACCCTGTCTCTACTAAAAATACAAAAATTAGCCAGGCGTGGTGGCGGGTGCCTGTAATCCCAGCTACTTGGGAGGCTGAGGCAGGAGAATCACTTGAACTTTGAGGTGGAGGTTGCAGTGAGCCAAGATCATGCCGCTGCACTCCAGCCTGGGTGACAGAGCAAGACTCCATCTCCGAAAAAAAACAAAAAGAAATTAAAGAAACATATTTTACGTTAACATTTTTTCCCAGGATCTATAATTAGGGTTAAATGGTGAAATTTGATAAATATTTTTAACTGAAATGAAATTTTCATCATGGTATTTTATTAGCCCAGTTGCCATTAGAATTTTATTACTTAATTTGCACTTTATTAGTCTTGCTTTTATTTCTGGGAATTGACTAGTAATGCTGTATTTAGCCTTAGTTTATAATTTGGACTTGAGGATCCTCTTGACCTGTTTCCTGCCCTTCTTTCCTCTGGTCACTCCATTGTAACAGTGGTGACCTTCTTACCGTCTCATTCAAGTCAAACGCATGCTCTGTTCTCTTCAGGGCCTTTCTGCCTGCTGTGCTGTCAGCCTGAAATGCCCTTCTTCACACGCTCATTCCACTCAGGTCTCTGCTTATCTGTCACCTTCTCAGATAGTGCCCTCTGCCTGGCCTGTGCAGAAAAGCTTTTTTATTCATCCTCTTGCGCACACTTCCAGATTGTATAACATTTCACCATACTCGGTTTCATATTTTAGACTACTATTTATCTGGATTTCCCACCAGAAAGTAAATGCCACAAAAGCAGTCTTCACTGTGTTAATTGCTTATTAGATAAATGAATTTACACTGAAGTAGATTTGTAGCTCTTAATAACCCTTGGCCGGATGTGGTGGCTCACACCTGTAATCCCAGCACTTTGGGAGGCTGAGGCAGGCAGATCACGAGGTCAGGAGTTTGAGACCAGCCTGACCAACATGGTGAAACATCTCTATTAAAAATACAAAAATTAGCCATGGTGGTGTGCACCTGTAGTCCCAGCTACTCAGGTGCCTGAGTCAGGAGAATCACTTGAACCTGGGAGGCGGCGGAGGTTGCAGTGAGCCGAGATCATGCCACTGCACTCCAGCCTGGATGACAAAACAAGACTCCACCTCAAAAAAAAAAACCAAAAAACCCTCTACTTTCCTACTAATGACAATTCTTTTGAATTCCAGTCCAGCCTGGGTGACAGAGTGAGACCATGTCTCAAAATTAAAAAAAAGTATTATGTGCTCTATATAATCATATATACTATACTCTTTTTTTTTTTTCTTTTTTTGAGACGGAGTCTATCGCTCAGTGCAGTGGTGCGATCTGGGCTCACTGCAACCTCCGTCTCCCAGGTTCAAGCAATTCTCCTGCCTCTGCGTCCCAGGTAGTTGGGATTACAGGTGTGCGCCACCACACCCCCACTAATTTTTGTATTTTTGGTAGGGACGGGGTTTCACCATGTTGGCCAGGCTGGTCTCAAATTCCTGGCCTCAAGTGATCCACCTGCCTCGGCCTCCCAAAGTGCTGGGATTATAGGCATGAGCCACCGTGCCTGGCCATGCTATACTTTTGATACGACTGGCAGCGCAGTAGGTTTGTTTACACTAGCATCACCACAAACATGTGAGCAATACATTTTGTTGTGGTGGCTATGATGTCACTAGAAGATAAGAATTTTCCAGGTCCATTATAGTGGGTGCAGTGACTCACACCTGTAATCCCAACACTTTGAGAGGCTAAGGCAGCAGGATCACTGGAGCCTAGGAGTTTGAGATTAGCCCAGACGATATAGGAAGACCCCATCTCTACAAAAAATTAAAAAATTAGCCAGGCATGGTGGTGCCTACCTGTGGTCCCAGCTACTCAGGTGGCTGAGATGGGATGATCACTTGAGCCCAGGAAGTCGAGGCTACACTGAGCTATGCAGTCCAACCTGGGCAACAGAGCAGGACCCTGTCTCAAAAAATTAATAAAAGTAATTGTAAAACTTTTTATTTTATCTTCATCCTTTATAAACTTATATTTTGGATGTGTCATACATATGTATTAGAAAATTGCACGTATATGAGATAGGGAAATGTGCATGGTTGGGGGGCATGCAGACGTTGATAGGGTGGACAATCAAATATGTCAGGCCAGGCATAGTGGCTCACACCTGTGACCTTAGCACTTTGGGAAGCTGAGGCAGGCAGGTCACCTGAGGTCAGGGGATCAAGACCAAACTGACCACCATGGTGAAACTCCATCTCTACTGAAACCACAAACAATTAGCTGGGTGTGGTGGGGCATGCCTGTAATCCCAGCTACACAGGAGGCCGAGGCAGGAGAATCACTTGAACCCAGGAGGTGGACGTTGCAATGAGCTGAGATCACACCATTGCACTCCAGCCTGATTGATTGAGACCCTGTCTCAAAAAAAAAAAAAAGGATTATGTCAGTCATTTAGCAAATTATCTTTAGGGTTTTTATAAAACTGTGGTGTTAATTTAATATTCTTTACATTCGTCTGTGACTTGAACAGTTAGTAGTGAAATTGTATCTATTCTTTCATTCAACAAGCTTTTTTTTTTTTTTTTTTAATAGAGATGGGGTCTCGCCATGTTGTTCAGAATGACAGGTGTGAGCCACCAGACCCAGCCTCAACAAGTATTTACAGAGAGACTACTGTATACTAGGCACTGAGGATAGAGACAGGGTCATGCTGTACCACCCAGGCTGAATTGCAATGGCAAGATTAAAGTTCACTGCAACCTTGAACTCCTGGGTTCAAGCAGTCTTTCCACTTCAGCCTCCCAAGTTGCTACAACTACAGGTGCATGCCACCACAAGCAGCTAATTTTTTTAAAATTTTTTTGTACAGATGGGGGTCTTGCCCTATTGCCCAAGCTGGCCTTGAGCAATCCTGCTGCCTCAGCCTTCCAGAGTACTGGGATTGGAGTTGGAGCCACCATGCCGGCCTACTTAACCTTTCTCAATAATTTTAAACCATAATTTAGTTTAAAGTGCATTACCATATTAATTTTAACGGAAATTTCTTCTATTTCTCGTTAGGTTTTACGACTACTAGATGTCATTGGTTTGCCTGAACTGGTTATTCAGTTGGCTACATCGGCCATAACTGAAGCAGGTGATGACTGGAAAAGTCAGGTAAGAATTGGCTGCAATTTGGTTGTTTTCTTTAAGGTTTGTTGTGGGTGTGGTATGTTCATTAATACTGCTCTTTTTGATACTTGATCTACATTTGGTATTTAGGCTACTCTAAGGACATGCATTTTCAAACATCATTTGGATTTGGGTCACAATAGCCAAGCATATGAAGCCTTAACCCAAATTCCTGATTCCAGCAGGTAATTTCATGATCTTTTTTAGAGAAGACAATTTACCAATTCTGTTTAACCTACTAAGATAGTTTGCCCTCATATTCCTTTCTTTCCTTTTAGGCAATTAGATTGTTTACGGCAGTTGGTGGTAGTTCTTTGTGAACGCTCACAGCTACAGGATCTTGTAGAGTTTCCCTATGTGAATCTGCATAATGAGGTAATTTCAGTTATTCAGTGCTGGCTTTCAGCAAGTATGGTGGTTGCCATGATTGCTACTGACTTAGTTATCTGATTACTTCCCCTTCCGTAGGTTGTGGGAATAATTGAGTCACGTGCTAGAGCCGTGGACCTTATGACTCACAATTACTATGAACTTCTGTATGCCTTTCACGTCTATCGCCACAATTACCGCAAGGGTGAGCAATGTAACCAGACAGTATCTTGGAGACAACCTTATTAATCATGTTTTACCAAAATATTGTGTGTTGGACTTAGGTAATTTTTAATATGTGTTTCAGTACAAGGTTAGCTTAAACTTTTTGAAGATTATCTTGAAGATATGCCCTTGCTTCCATTCTAGAACTTTCTCAAGGCGTTGCCACTGAAATGGCATTCTATTTGCATCTTCTGTCCAATTATAAAGGAAATTAGTGCCGGGCGCAGTGGCTCACACCTGTAATCCTAGCACTTTGGGAGGCTGAGGCAGGTGGATCATCTGAGGTCAGGAGTTCGAGACCAGCCTGGCCAACATGGTGAAACCCCTTCTCTACTAAAAATACAAAAATTAGCCATACGCGGTGGCGGCCACCTGTAATCCCAGCTACTCAGGAGGCTGAGGCAGGAGAATTGCTTGAACAGGGTGGGGCGAGGGGCGGAGGTTACAGTGAGCCAAGATCACACCACTTCACTCCAGCCTGGGCGAAAGAGCAAAACTCTGTCTCATAAATAAATAAATAAAGGAAATTAGCTTTTTCACTAGAGACAGCATGAAGTTTTGAGACTGGTTTTGAGTACCTGTGCTATTTTACCATTGACCTTCTCCCTTTCCACATTTCAGTTCTTAGAGCAAAATTCTGACTGCTTAAATGTGCTTAGGTTATGCGTACAATAGACGATATTCCGCATTAGCTATGGTTAGATTGTCCCACATCCCCTCAATTAAATGCCAAATCAAATCCTTAAAGAGGGGACTAAAATTTACATTTAGGGCTGGGCATGGTGGCCCACGCCTGTAATCCCAGCACTTGAGGAAGCTGAAGCGGGTGGATCACTTAATGTCAGGAGTTGGAGAACAAGCCTGGCCAACATGGTGAAATCCCCTCTCTACTGAAAATACAAAAAATAGCTGGGCATGATGGCGGATGCCTGTGATCTCAGCTACTCAGGAGGCTGAGGCAAGAGAGTCACTTGAACCCAGAAAGTGGAGGTTGCACTGAGCCAAAATCATGCCACAGAACTCCAGCCTGGGTGACGGAGCGAGACCCTGTCTCAAAAAAAAAAATTACATTTAGAAGTTATCAAATGATATACTGGTGAATTCTTTTTTTCTTCATTCAACTTTTTAATTTAAAATTTGTCAAGTCTACAGAACAGTTAAAACATTAATGCAATGAACATCTCCCTATATACCTTTCACCCAAATTCCCCAGTTGTTAATATTTTACATCATTTTCTTACCTCTCTCCTCTTCCCTCCTTTCCTTTTTTCCCCCTTCCTTCCTTCCTCTCTCAATACCTATTGATTTATTTACTTGTTTGTTTTTGCTGGTCTTTCTGAGAGGAAGTTAAAGACATCATGATTTTTTTTAATGTCATCGGTTATTTAATTAGGTTCTTCTTAAGACATTTAGAACACCAATTTGTGAGGATAAATTCCATTTGTCAGGGCAGACACCGATCGCAGGTAGCCCTGGAGCTGAGGAATAGCTTTGATTTTTGGTAAAATTTGTGAGTCCACAGCTTTCTGATCAATCCTGCTCTGCTCTGTAATCTCATATTTCTCTTTTTCTGTGTCGAAGATCTCACCTTCCTGGTGTCTGGGCTTCCACTTTTTCTTTTTTTTTTTTGAGATGAAGTCTTACTCTGTCACCCAGGGTAGAGTGCAGTGGCACCATGTCTGCTAACTGCAACCTCCACCTCCCAGGTTCAAATGATTCTCCTGCCTCAGCCTCCCAAGTAGCTGGGATTACAGGTGCCCACCACCACGCCTAGCTAATTTTTTTATATTTTTAGTGGAGACGGGGTTTCACCATGTTGGTCAGGCTGGTCTTGAACTCCTGACCTCAGGTGATCCGCCCGTCTCTGCTTCCCAAAGTGCTGGGATTACAGCCATGAGCCACTGCACCTGGCCAATAATGTTTTTTATAGCACATCCCTCCCAGACTGCCCTTACCCTGGATCTAGAATACACACTGCATTTAGTTGTGCGATGTCTTTAGGCTCCTTTAATCTGGAGCCTCACTTTGCCTTTGATGACATTGATATTTTTGAAGCATATAGGTCAGTCATTTTTGTAGAATGTATCTTAATTTGGACTTACGTTATCAATGCATTATTTATCAGAACAGCTAAAATGAAAGGAATGTGAGATTGTTTTAAGATTATATTTTGCAATATAATCACCGTGGAATGTCTTAACATTTTTGTACCATTTTTACTTAGAATTTTCTTTGGTTTCTTGCTGATTTTCATTGGAAAAAAATAGATGGAGTTTATTCATAGGCAGGTTCTTAACATTCCTAATAGTAAAACATATTTGCATATTCTTTATTTTCTTGAATCATATAGGAAGGGAAATACAAATTATTAAAGATCTCTCAGTATCTGCTTTCACAATAACGTTTTATCAACCTGCTTAGTACCAGTTTAGCAAGATTAATGTTCAGGTTTTTCTAGAGCAAGGCTGTTCTAAAAGTGCCTTACATATTGCAGGTGTTCAAAAATATGTGTTGAAATGAAAAATAGTTTTATTTGAAAACTGAAAGAATTTTTAATGATATTTTTAATTTCTGGAGTCCCATGCCATCCCAGAACAGTGGACTTTTCAGTATTATAAAAATGAGAATCTGGCCGGGCGCGGTGGCTCAAGCCTGTAATCCCAGCACTTTGGGAGGCCGAGATGGGCGGATCACGAGGTCAGGAGATCGAGACCATCCTGG